AGCAGTTTTCCTTTGTCTTTTGAGGGCATTAAATAGCTTGAAATTAAAATACTGGTGAGCAAATTTCCATTTTTTTCACATATTGATGATGTGGAGACAAAAAGCAATTAAGCTCTTTGCAATAATGCAATTAGACTCTTAGTTTTAACCAACAGAGAAGGTTATCCCCCTTTAATTTGGACACTTTAATGATAGTATGTGAGGAAAATGAGGGAGCATTTGTTTTCTCTACTTAAATTTGTGTAGCTGATCTGCGGATTCTAATTGGCAACATTCTCACCAGTCCAGCTCTCTAATCTAAAAGCCACCAACAGGCCAAATATACCGCAGTCAAGTTAATTTAAATTGGGCTCTACCAGCATGATGAAGAGTAAGGCACAGTGCCAGAATAACTGCATCTGCAGTTAGTCCCAGTTGGAGATGGTATTTCACTGAGACAAATGAAGACAGACACTGAGAGAATTGGGAACCCCCAAATTAAAGGCATAGCACAGTAAGGATTGGCCTAGATTGATCCCTTTTTTGAAGCATAAAAGCAACATTTGTTTTCTCAAGCATAAAAGCACTGTCGACTGTGTGAGTAGATAAAAAAAAAAAAAGATGTTTGCATTTTTTAGTTTTTCTAGTATGTTCAGTCCCTTATCTGAAAAGGACACTACAAGATTAGCACAGGTAATGTTTTATTCAGTTTTTCTTGTAATTTGGTTTGTAAGATTTTTGCTTTTGTAGAATTCTAAAAAACTACAAAAAGAAAAGCACGGCTCCTTTGAAAGCTAATGGGACTGGCTTGGAAAGATTGCATAGTTGTAAGTCCACATACTGCTGTGCTTTCATAGTATTTTACATGTAATCACAGTGCTTTTTTTTCATCAGAGTTACATATTCAGTTTCTGACTGAGGCAACTGTTGTTGTGATTTGGTGGTACATACATAAAATTGAATTGAACTAATCTATGCTTTACATCACTTGCACTTTCCCACACTGACGGGCTCATTGGTGACTTCAGTGGTGTAGTCCAATAATCTTTCTATCCGACTTCTTCAGGCCAACCAGCCTCCACTCTGTGTACGTTAAATCTCATTGCTCATCTGTCATTCTCCCTTGTAACCTACCTCCTCCCCATCTATGCCTCTCCTCCATGTTACTCAGGCTCCTTCAAAGCCTCTATCTTCATAACCACCACCAGCATGTAGACTTCAGGAGGTCATGACCTAATAACTATCACTGCTGGGATTCTATTCTGCTGTGATGGACTATTGGAGTCAAATCGCCAAATAGGTTAATTGAATTCTATATATCAAGAATTCCTTATTGAACTGATATTTGGATCAGATATTGGGGACAACAAGCCTAGTTGCATAGGCCTAAACCATCTGGCAACCACCGACCACTAGGGGAAAGTATGTTCTGTGACAGGTTGGCAAATGGTTGCTGGGAGTTTCTAGGTGAAATTGTTTGCAAAGAAGCACAAGGATGCAGAATCAAAAAGCTCCTTTGGAATTCTTTTGGCAACGAGCAGTTTGCCATGCTCGTCAATAGAGGCTCATGGAGGAGCTAGCATTAGCTCAAACACTTGGAAAGCCGAGAAAAAGCAGGAGGAAGAGAAGACAACAAAAAGTAATTAAAGTAAAAACGAATTCTTTAACAACCTTCAGAGCTTTACTCAACTGAACTCAGAGTATGGACTCAGAGGTTTCATAGCACCTGTTAAACTGAGCTGAGTGACTCAGTCTAACTTAGCAGGTTTGCCATAGGAGATAGGAGTCTATCGGTGTTTGAGAAAAGTTGCAGCAGTGACAAAAAGTGAATGCTTTTAGTGGCTGTCAGATTATTTCAGTCATCCCTAAAGTGTGCTGATAAGCTGTGGTTGCGAAAAAATAGTAAGTGAAACAGACTGCCAAGTTAGTCTGTAGCCCTAATTGTGCTGTTGTAGTTTGCTTACTGCATTTCTCTATGCATGTTTGGAATGCAGTGTGAAATTTACTGTGCAGGGGAATCTGGCATATACGTGGATACTACCACATGTCACATACCATCCATATTAATGTTGTTGTACACCCCCTGTGGGACTATAGCCACTCCCTGGTAGCAGCAGCCTAACCTATCATGGTAAAATACCCCATAACACTGCACAATCGCTTATGAATGGTTCAGAGACACGGCAGAGATCACTCCACATATGATCACCTCATCTGCCTCAGTTTATGTACACACTTCTTTGTGCTGCTTCCTTATTTTTTACGGAGTGGCGGAGGTTATTGCCAATTGTTCACAAAGATGCTTGATGAGTGCCAACCCTATCATCAATATTATAGTAGATTTTCACTGTTTAGAGAGCTCTTTATATAAAATATTAAATTTTAAAATACCTGAAAAAAAAAAGCCTGAGGAAGAGCCAGTTGATCAGATTCTTGCAATGAATTATTAATAAAACACAGTAGGAGCACAGCACATTCTATCTCTCTCTATCTTTTTCTCTCTTTTTTTATAAGTATGCAGATTTATTTTCTCTTCTGTTCCAGCAACTGCTCGTCCTTTTTTTTTTTTTATCTGTCACATAAGTAGCAGACAGAAGAGATAGAAGTTGCAGAAACATGAGCCAGTGTGTGAGGATTTAGCTCCTGTCACTTAATAATCAACATTATTCAAGGCTGTGTCATACACAGCAGTCTTCACCACAAGTGTGAAACCACAGGATTTCTGTTAATAACAAGTATGTTTGCGTGAAAGGCATCAAAAGAAAAGGCAGGTGCATATTGCAGGTAGAAATAACAAAGAAGCTTCCAGTAGACAAGCAGTTTGATGGACACACATTCTATAGGGAGGGATGTATAGTCTACATTAGGGCTGTGCGATATGACCAAAATCTCATCCCGATATAAAACATCTATCGTCCGATAACGATATAAATCACAAAAATTTTATATTTTCTGTAAATTCTGTGAATCTCGGGTAGGTGAAGTGTTTCCAGCTGGGCGTCGTGTACCTGGAGTCGAGTGTTTTAACCGATGTATGAAACTATACATTTTTAGACATAAGTTGTAACGGCCGCTGTTTTCTTTGTGAGTATTTATTACACGGCGTGCTGCGGGGAAAAGCCTGTTCTAATGTTTGAGTCTAAGGTTTATTTTTTGGCACCTGACTGCTCTTTTTTTGCTTCTCATCTGTCAATAGTACTTTTTCACGTGATTCAGTTTATTTTGAAAAGTCTCAACAGGATCTTGAGCTTTATTGTGAAAGGTTTATGTGGAAAATAAACAAGCGGACATGCGATGGTTTTACCTAGGGGTGGGTTTTTATAATCGATTCATGGATTAAAATCGATTCTGGCTTGGATAACGTAAAATCGATTAATTAAAATCCTGAATCGATTTTTTAATATAAATTTATTTTGCCCAAATTGCCAGAATCTCAAGTGACATCTCACAAAATTTCAAGAACCACCAAACAGTTAAGACAGTGAATCGGAATTGAATCGATTCTAGAAATCAGTGACGATACCCAGCCCTAGTTTTACCATCGTTGTTGCTAACAACAACCCATAAAAACAGGCGCTTATCCGTCTGTAGTGTGGTTATATTAAATATAAGAGAAAGAGAGAACTTTAAGAAATTAATATAGCCACTACAGTGACCATCAAAACGATGAAAAAAATATTGCCGTAAACAGTTTATTTTGCGACACCACGAAACAAACGATAGCGTAAAATGAAACGATAGACGTTTTTATATCGTCATCCGATATATATGTTATATCGAACAGCCCTAGTCTGCATGTCTACATCTTTTTATCAATCTGACAGATATCCATGGCGATGCTGGCCTCCCAGAATGTTGCGGGAAATGTAGATGTGATTTCAGAAACTGAAAATGTATTGTCCGGTTTTAAAAAGCAAGATTTTGATAAAATAATCAGTTGCAGGAAATGCAATTTTACGATAACAGGAAAAACATGGCTCAGTCACAGAATCAAATAATACAGAAGCCATTCCTGTTCCAATATCCTCCCAGATAAATATCAATGGAAGGCTCTTTTCTTTCCAGATGGCATCTCATTCAATCAAGTGCTACCTTAGACCACAAGCTGGGCAGTAATTTAGTAGATTTTTATTGTTTATTTTGTTTTAATGTGAATCAAACAAAACAGTCAAAAATCAGCTCTGTAATCATGACTCATCTCTGCATGCTTTAGAGGAATTACTTCATATTAGCTCGTGGCCAATCCATGCAAAAGAGAACAGGTCAGTATGTCAAACCTCAAATTTATGAAAATAAGGAAAATAAACATAATCACGCAGTTTAACCAATATTTATTTTGCATTTTTTTGGTCTATTTTGCAATAATATAATTTTTTACTAACAACAAGGCTTTTTACAGGAGCGGCTCCCATCCATCAGCATACACACAGCTCAGTGATACACGTGATAGCTGGTCTGCCTTCATTAACCATGCACGCCACATCCATGTCTTGTTTGATGGATAACTTCTTGGCACATGAGTGCATTTCTCTGAAACATCTGACCTTTATTGACACAGTCCACTTCAATATACTGAGCAATGAAGGGCTCCATCTATTCAATACATGATTGCTTTCGTGAAACGCCTGCTTGAAGAACTCTTTTTGGAATATGTGGGTAGAATTAGCATTTTGCCAAATAAATGAAATCAAGTGACCTTATATGATGAATAGACCAAACAGCATCCTATTCATCACATTCATCAAGAGCTGAAGATGAATAAAAGATTAGCATTTACACCCACAATCAGTACAGGTCAATGATTTTAACCCAGACAAATTATTTAGACAAATGTCTTTTTTTTACTCTGAGAATTTGGCTGAGAATATCTAAACGAGCCTCTGTATTTGTCAGGAAAATGTATAGACATAGACATAGTTGTGAAACTTGGTTAATAAAGTCATAGTCATCCAGTGCACAGTGTGAATACAGAGGTTTAAGTTCTGTTATAATTGGTTGGCTTTGATCTCCGAACTCTGCAGGAGACTGCTTATGATCCATCCCCAGAGAAACCTGTACTGTGCGCCTCAGTCAGCTCCAAAACCTCCAGGTTCTCATCCTTTTCCAGAATTGAAGACAACACAGCCGGCAGCTCATTCTGATGTAACAGCTTTACTCTTACTTGAAGGTCAGTAACTCTGTTTTGTGGCCTGAAGCTTGTAGTCATTTCTTTCCTGACTGTCTTAGCTGGGACTCCTCCTGCAGGACTACGAAAGCCATATGTCTTCTCCTATTAATATTTTAATTTAAATTTTTCCATATCTTCAGTTTAGGATCTTGATTTCTTTTTTATTAATTAGCTATATTTACATGTATCGTTATATCATTTATGTAGTAAGTTGAGTTTCATTTTAGTAATAGTATTGTTTCCGAAACTATTTTGGATTGAAAGTTCTTTTGTATATTACAGTATAATTTATCACTGATAAATTGATGTTTCTAAAAAAAAAAAATAGGACAGCTGGAAAATTAGTTAATCATGGATGCATAAATGTGCATCCGGTTCTGATATACATTAATGCAGTTCACTAGTGTTATGTGTGGGTTCAAACACACATCTGTGTGTACAAATCTGCACTCAGAGTCGATTAGAAAAATTTCAGTAGAAATGACTGCTTGCCTGTGTCTGTCCACATATTCAAGCAAATATATGCTTCATCCAACCTATGCAGCCACATTGACGTATCGACGCAATGAACAGCAGCGGTGGAAGACAGATGAATGTATATATATCCATTGGCTGTGACAGCTAAATTAACTGTTGCCAACTAAACTTTTCACCACCTACAGCTTGTTAAGAGACTTCTTTGTCTGATTAAATAAGATAAGTTGGAAAGGCCAAGGTTATAGTTAGGTATATGATAAAGCAAAGGACAAAGCAAAGTAAACATATACCTTAACATAGCATCTATTCCAGTTATGCTTCCCTCGCCTAAGCATGGTATTAATTATACAGTAATAAGGACTCAAAACAACATCATTGACTTTGGAGGCCACCGTTGTCAATATCATCCTTTTCAATAACAGGCCACTAGTTGATGTTACTTCTTCTCTGTGCTACTTGCTTGTGCTTTGTAGACATGCTGCAGGGATTGGTTTGCTGTCTGTATACATCCCTGAGAGAGGGTCTGTCATTCATAGCCACACTGTTTATTTTTTGACCTTTGCATTCGTTGTATCCGTCTGTCCTTTGGCTGGCTTTGCAAGTGGAGCCGTGTCCTCTGAGGAAAGGCAAGGAGGAGGAGATGAAAGATTCATACAGGCACACGCGGCATGAGGGAGGTAGCAGGAGAGCTCCACCAGAGAGAGTTAATTAGGATCTCCCTTTCCCAGGCAATCACTCTGCTCTTGACATTTCATCTCACTTTTTCCCGAACAAATCTCCCTACGACTTGCAGAGACAGGCAGAGAGACAGAGAGGAAGTGCTTGACCTTGGTTAGGTGTTGTGCTGCATTGCTAGTTTTAGCTCACATCAGTCTGCCTGCCCATGATAACGTTCAACATGAAACAGTGGAATAATCCCACAGCTCTCCAAGCAACCTGTCTCTAACAGTCTGCCTCCTTTCACCTGAAAGGAAGAGCCCATTCTTTTGTCCTCCCTGGTGCAAATTCATTATTTTGTAGAAGAAGCACACATATAAATGTTCCACAGACACATTTCCGAAGGCCCATACTTTCCCTGCTGTATCAAAACCCCCAGAAAAACACATTCATACGCAAATCAGTCCCAATGGTGAGGTTAGCAAGAGTGCAGCGATACAATAAATGAACAAAACAGACCATCAACACTTAGGATTTTTTTTCTTCTCATAATAATAAAAATAGGAAACATAATCATAGCTTGGCTAAATTGAAAACCTTCAGTGTTCAGTGAGAGAGAGAGAAAGATCTGATGATCAAGCCATAACAAGAGAAAGGATTGGTCTGAGAGAGAGACACTGTGAGAGTGTGTGAGGAGGTAAAATGTGTTTATTGTCCCCGTCTCCCTGTCTGTCATTTGAAATTGGAGAAAGCAGACTGTATTATTGGACACCAGTGCCAGTCGCAGCCAATGATCTGGCTCCGTGATAGATCTGTTTAATGCTCACTTTATAGCTGGCAATCCCCTGCTGAGGATTTTTCAGAAAGCTGACAGAGTGGTGTGTAGGTAACCTGCACGCAGAGAAAGGGGAAAATTACTGTTCTGAAATTACTTTGACTCAAAGCTTTAAAGTGGCATCTCAGTCCCCTCAACCTTTTTCGACTAGGCCGAAATAGATGACAGAATTTCCTCACCTCTCAAAGGTTTCATGGTGATAGGAACAAACAAAAGTGGGAGTATTTGTGACAACACACATAATATGTATGAAACGTGACTTGCCTCTGACATCCTCACTGAGTTTTACAGCCATTCGTTGCTGCTTTTATGTAGTCTGGCATGAAGCGGTGCAAGGACTTCTTTGATTACAGTTCTGAGATGCTTGTCACATGACCCGAGGGGTCACGAAGTCAGTGGTGGGCATTCAGCAGGACCTTGGCAGAGGCATTACCAATTTGTTCATTAGACCTTTATATGGGTGTAGGTCAGTGGGGCTCTGACAGGTGTTGTTGAGATGAACGACTTGGTTGTAAACTCGCACACATTTCGATCTTCACTCGTCAGTGAGGGCAAACGCTTCCAGTAGAAACAGTAGTCATGGAAATGAGGGTTACTAACCCTGCCATGCTTAATTCATAAATCAGCTTCTGTGACCGCTAATGAAGCCAGTGTTTAGTGAAAGAGTTTTTCCATCCAAGTGTTGTTTTTTGACACAAGAAATAATATCAGTGGAATAATTTTCCAGTCCTCTGTCAGATGTCTGACAGCTCTGAAGTGAAGTCCTTATTGATTTGTGTAATTGTAATCATCTTTCTTTTTTCCATTTTTATTTTTACACAAGGACATTGTCTTAGGAACTCCACTGTGAGAATAATTTAGTTTTAGACATTTAAATAATTATCTTACTACGAACACAACCCAAAGAAATGCATTGCAGTTCACATTGTACTTCACTAGAACTCCAGGTTAAAAGTCAAGTCTTCCAGTTAGACCATGTCAAGTCTTCATGTAGCCTTATATTTAACAATTCTATGGTAATTTATGGTAATAACAGTTGCCTCTAGATTAAAGAATGTCACGGCTTTAAAGTGTTTTTTAAAATTAGCTAAAACAGAGTCAGCTTGGACATTTTAAAACTGTTTTTCGGTGCTACAGTTGAGTGCTTAATTATCTCTAATTTCCTCTGTCAAATTGTCTTCATCTGCAGATGGGGAATGTTTGTCAAAAGGAAGTACTAAAACAGATTCAGAGCCAACTGAAGCCGTGCAGCAAAATGATTGCAACTATTACGTTGAATTATAAATAGCAGCTGCTTTCAATTTGCTGAAATTAATATTTTGAAAGAATGTATTTGGGGAATACAGTTATTTGCTTCCTTGCTGAATGCTTAATGAGGAACTGATGCCACACTCATGTTTGCAGAGTAAATATGATGTTACACCAGCAGCCATTTAGATTAGCTTAGCACTGGGGGGAAAGGCTAGAAACAGCTTTACTAAATCATAAAAAAACAGGTTTACAGCTTCTTTCTTTCTTTCTTTGACTGGATCTGACCCGAGATTTAGTCCTGTGCACTTAAGAATTCATCCTATTACTTTTATGAGCAATCATAAATAAGCACTGGAGACTCAGTTCCACTGGCATCTCATGCCATAACGCTGCCTCCATGTTTGACAGATGATGATGCTGTATACTTCAGCTGATGAGCTGTTTTTCTGCTCCTCTATATTTTTCTCTTCCTAGAATTCTGGTAGAATTTAATCTCTGATCATCTGTCCAAAGATTTAATTTCCTAACTCTGCATGCTCTTTTAGATGTTTTATGGTAAAGTCTAGTCTGGCCTTCCTGTTCTTGAGTGTAACCAGTGGTTTGCTGTTAATGTAAACTTCTACGTTTACATTCATGATGGACACTGTTGATTGTACACTTTATGCCCACCTCCTTGAGAAGGTTCTTAATTTGACTAAACGGTGTAATTTTTGTTTTTCTCAACCATTTGTTATACTGTATTCTAGTTGTCTCCAGTGGTCCTCAAGAGCTTCTGGTGTTGTCGAGCTTGTCAGTGTCTTCTCTCTTTGATTTGCCCATATGGAAAAGATAGATACAAACTTTATAAGATTTATATATGTCTTGTGTGAAACTTGTATGAGAAGCATACAAGAGTGAAAACAGATATAAGATCCCTAGAAAAATTATATAAATGAAACTTGTATGTTTTGGATACTTACTAAAACAATATATGAAAGTGGCCACTTTCATGAGTAAATCATATAAGCCTTATATGATTCATTATATGAAGTAGGCCACATCTGATGCAAGTCTTTTATAAGTTTTTTTTCTATTTCTTTCCATATGGGTGGCCACTTTGGCCACACGTTGGTATGTCTTCATTGTGTTTTTGTGGTTTCTTTCTATTATTGTAGGTTCTTTACCTTGAAATACAAACCACCTTGAGGCAACTGTTGTGGTGATTTGGCACTATATAAATAAAATTGAATTGAATAATTTTTATTCACACTGAGTGGTCTCTTGAAAATACAATGGAGGGGGAATACAAGGGAATAGGTCTCACCTGGCCATGAAAATGTTTGTCAATCAATTGTCCAATTACTTTTAAGAAAATGGGAGATTGCAGAAAAATGTTGCTGATTTTCAAAACGTGATATCCTTTGAGTTTTAACTGAAAGTTTGCACTTTAGTCACAGCTTGATTGTTTATTTGAAATTCTTTGTGATGGTATATAGATGCTAAATTACAAAATGTGTCACTGTTGAAAAACTGTGCGCCCAGCTTAGAGCTGGGCGATAGAACGATAACGATATGTGTTGCGAAATAACTTTTTCTCGATAGAAAAATTAAACTATTGCGATAGACCTCACCGCTCTTGTCCTCTTAAAAAAAAAAAAAAAAAAAAAAAAAACAGCCAATCCAAATTAAGTAGCGCAGAGCCGAACCAATCACAGCCGCAGCGTCACGTCCGTGACTTGTTACGTACAGCACAAGTGCCAAGCCGCACTGTGTATTTGTTTGGGAAGCAGCCAGCGCCGCCCGGGTAATGGAGGAAATGAGTGTGCCGACTAGAAAAATCAACCGAGCGTGACCGAAGAGAAAACAGATGATGGTTCCAATGCCGGAG